AACTGGTATGGAACAAAAAAACCATTGTGTCTGTGAACACTTTAGAAGTGCTTTTATATGAAAAAGTAATATGTTGTAAACACAGCTGATATTTCACAATTGATTGCTCATAGCTTCATGAGGGTCTGTGTAGAATTTCAAGTCAATAATGAGGATGAAAAGCTGAAGGCAAAAAAATCGTCCTGGGGAAATTAATGTTTGTCAAGGTAAAAATGCTTTTGAAGTTCATGTTTTAATTTATTCTGAAAACAGACCCCAAAGGAACCCCAGCCAAAACCCCTCTCACTGCAAAATGTTGACACTTTTAAAAGATTTTACTGCTTTCACTTGACATGTCAAGTGGGGTCTGCCCACACCAAGCACAAATTAGCCATTCTGTACTGAAACCAAGTTTCTGAAGCTATGGCTGCTATGCATAGAAGACCAACATGTTTAATACACTTCAGCTCTAACCCACTCCTCCAATGGAAAATGAGTAATTTATAATTTTATTTTAATAAATTATTTCACCACTTGTTCTTTTTTGAGAAAACAGACTGTATTACTTGGCGTAAGTGGTAGGACATTTTGCAATTCACAACAGAGTTCATATTTTCTGTCCACTGCAAAGTTTCAGCACAGCTTCACTGAGGTCAGTGCTGCTGCATCAGCCAAGGATCTGCTATTGAACTGAGCTGAAAATTTAGTGTGTAACACACAGAGACAGGAAAAAAAAAACCTATCATAAAGAAAAAGCAGGAACAAAGGCTTGAGTCCTTAGTCAAAAAACCTCCTGTAACCAAAAAAATTTTACAGTTATTGTTAATTTAAACGGCTCACAATTCACTCTTCACTAAGCCATACTAGTATTTGTTTTGGAGTATTTTGCCATACCAGATACAGAAAATAACGCAGTTTAAAAGTCATGGACAGGGCAAAGTGACATAATGAAACACAGACATAAAGAAATCAGCAGAACTACCTGGGATACCAAAAATACAACAAAAAAACCCTCTCTGAGAAGTCTATTGTTTATGTCAGCAGAAAGACTTGACACAAAAAAAGACTGACAAATTACAAATATTTGCCCTTTTTTTAAATGAAAAAGTATATTTAATCAAATGCTTTCATCAGATCTGAAAATCTAAAGCACCTACTTAAAATCCCTCTTACTGGTTCCAGAAATGAAAAAAGAGCATAACCATTCAAAGCAGAAACAAATCTTTAACTTTCCTCATCCTTGCTCCAGCAAATGCCACTTTTTTTGAAGTATCGGAGGAAGGTGTAAAGATTCCTCTAAAGGACACATGCAAAATAATCTTCTAGAAGGGAATATAAAAATATATGCCATTTTTGAATGGTGCTCTCCATGAAAAATGGTAGAACTGAACCTTAAGTCTATTTTCACATATTATCTTTCAATAAATTTATATAATGTTTTAACATATATATATGTATACCTCATATATATCACATTATAAAAATGTTAGTGCCATTGTGGGGTATCAGTTAAGAAAAAGTTGGGAGGTTTTTGCACTACAGTTTCCTTCACAAATGGGTGAGTTTATGTCTGCCAGAAGATTATCTGTTCTTTGGAGAACATATGTAATATGACAGTTGTAAATTCTATCACATTTTTCTTCTTGAGTGTTCATGGACAGGATGCTGCACTTTAAAGGAATTCTGTGAGACTAAAAGTTTGAGGTCAGTGGGTCTGGATGACTGTCACAGAGCAGATATTCTATATTTAATTAAGTGGCTGATCCTGAGAAAAGAATCTGCTGTTTCCCCTAACCTGAAGATGTGACTACTCAAAACTTTAAGAGTTATTCCCCAAAGTCGAGATTAGCAGTTGAAGAATCCATCCTGTGACTCATGGGATCTGAGATTCACAAGTCTTAAACCTCCCTTGTTTTGCAGGGGAGTAGTGAAATTTGGCTGGCTCTGGGAATTTTCTCTGGTGGTTTCTATCTTGCCTTAATTGCTTTGCAGACTTCTAACCTGCCTGTGTTCCCCTCCGGACTGCAGAGGAATAACTGTGGCATTATGGGGCTGTGGCATTTCCTGCTTAAATAAAAAATAAAATCTTGAGGTCCTTTGGTGAGTGAGTGCCATGTAGTTTTGACACAGACACACTTCTGCAGCAGCCTTAAGAGGGGCTCATGGTGACTGAAGGCAGAAATTCCCACCTTCATCTCTGTCCAGCTGCTCCTTCCCACAGCTGGGCTCTTCAGCCAGTCCTTCTAAATTTGGCTGTTCGTGCATCCCCAGGTTTCCTCCTTTTCACACAGTTTGCTCTCCCACACGTCCTCCTTCCTCACCTTCACTGCTATTTGTCACTTTCCCATCGCAGCCCCTGCTGCAGCATAGATCTTTCAGAAATGGAGTTTAGAAAAAAACAAATCATGTCCTAGATTGAAAAACTATAGAGTGCTAAAGATTGCATCTCTGTAATTGTCCTGTTTTTCTGGTGTATTTTTCTGTGGAACAGGATGAAAATTTGAATCTCCTGATTGTCTCCAGATGAAAGAAAAACATAAAATTCTGTTCCCAGAGGGACCTTCCTTTGTTATTTTTGTGCATGTTTGGTTTTGCATTGAAATATTATTATAATAACTTCTGCTACTTTTTTTTTTTTTTTGTGTGTGTGTGTGTGTGTAGGGTTTGCTAAACCTCTCATTGTTCTATCCCAGAAATAAGTCTGACGTACATGAGCTGCTTCTCTCGATGCACAGCACTTGATTCTGATGGCCACATATGAAAGGAGCAGAACTAATGGGCATTGTCCATTACAAAAATACCATTTTGATTCATGGTTTGTATTTTGCCTCGTCAGTGGTGTGGTATCACAAAACAAGGCTTAGATATTTTTCAGTGAATTCTTAGCTAACAGTTTTGGGATATGAAGAATGTGTGCCTGCATAGGCATCCAAAGATATGCCATAAAGCCATGAGCACAGAACCCATTTCTGCCACAAGCACCACAAAAACCGGGAGTGAGTTGCTTCAGATCACTCCAAAAACCACCTAGATCCTTGCCAAGTCTGTTTGCCTTTATAGTTTAATTCTAGAGTCAATAAACACAAAGAAAAGGCCATCAGATGTAACAGTATGCATGTAATTTACAATTAGAGCATGCAACTGGTATATCATAAAAATATGGATATAGTTATGTCTCTGGGCTGAATGGAAAGAACCACAAGTTTTGACAACTTGCACCTGCAATATAAATTTGTTGGACTTTTAGAAAAGTAAAATACTGCATTACATGTACACAAAGTACATATTCCTTAGCTATGGTCCTCTTTTGAAACCGAGATCCTTAACAATGTTGCCAAAAGAAACAGCTTTTGTGCTTTCAGACAGCCAACATCTTATAAAACCAGGCAGATGAATGATGTTATGTGTAAGGGATGAATAAAAATATCAAAGCCTGAAGTTCCAAACAGGCTTTGCAGGCCAAGAAAACTGTATTAAAATTCATTCCACAGAAAATAAAAGCAAATAACATTGGGACCAACCTGGGCATTTAGTTCTGCTCCAGAAGCTAAAGGCTTGTGAATATTCCTGAGGCAGATTGATCCCTCCTTTTGCAATGAAACTTCCTAAGGTTTTAGACACATTATTACTCTGGGTTTGTTCATTGATAATAAAAGTGTGAGCCTATGTTTTATGAAAGTTTTTTGGTAAATGAGTATCCTTATTGCTCCTTGATGTTGATAATATTCAGAGTCATGCTCTTGTATTCTGGCTTTTGAATTTGGGATGAACATTTTGCCATCTATGCCAGAAGACTGGATTTCATTCTGACTAAAACCAGAAAGATTTTGATAAATCAGACTGACAGCCTTCACATTTTAAATTATAGAATTGCATTAAACTCCTCCCCCAACTTATTCTTGAGTTAGCACCTAATAATGAGAATGAGACAGCATGGATGTAATTCCTCAGTGATCTCCAAAGTTATATATTAGTGTACAATTTAAGTAAAAAAAAAATCCCTAGTTTATGTTAATGAAAGAATTGAACCCAACATTAATCAACAAAGACACACACTGCTTTTAAACTTTCTCATGCCAGTAAAATATGCAGATGAAAATTTCCTCTCTGTTCTTCAAAGCAATTTCCAGTTCAATCTGCTTTCAGTTATTTATATGTAAAACTTGAATATTGGTGCAATAACTAAAGACTTCAGAAAGAGTTAGATCTATTTATCAGATGTTATACAAATGCACAGAAAAATCCATTATTTTCCTAGGCTACACCAGATTTTAATCAGAAACCAGCAACTGACCATCAAAGATGATAAGAAGAATGGCACTATACAGACAAATATCCCCTGTGGGTTAGTTCTGGGTGAGAGTCACCTCACCTGACTTGACATATCTGCAGATTAAAGTTCAGACAATGAACTAGTCACCATGCTCTGCCTTTGGGGGGCTTCTCCAAAGGAGAAATCATCTGACCTTTCTAGAGCAGGGTCATGTATTCTTTGGAGGTGCCTGTTTCCCTTCTTGAACTAATTGGGAGTCTCAGGTGACTGGATCATAATTAATGTCTTACTTTTGGCTTGTACTTGCATGGTTGATCTTTCTGCATGACCAAGGCATTTCCCAAAGAGAGGAACAGAGAGGTCACAAGCTGAAAAATAGGAAGTAAGGAAATAAAAGTGGACTTTCACCAGTATTTTTTAAAATGCCTTATTTAATGATAATATTCCTTCTTTATCTTGTTTTTGGTCTTCTCTAGAAGAGGGATGCTGTAATACAGAAGGATTCTGGCAACAATCCTCAGTGTTACAAGATACATCTTGGAAGAATGTAGGAAGCTGGATCAGCCTCTGTCCCTTGGTCACATAAGTTACAGCCCAGTTATATATTTGAGCTTTTTATGGCCTTGCAGATGCTTCTATTGTGGCCAGTCACTTCATTCACCTCCCTCATTCTATTTTATTCGTGTTTTATTATTTTCTTCTATTGAAATACATTTTTAATCATGTTTTTTTTTTTAAATTTCTCAAGCAAGAGCTTCACAAATAGAAGTGTGATTCTTTGAGCCCTTACAACATCCAAATATAGAATATGTAAGTATATAGATATACTAAATATAGAATATGTAAGATGTAAGTACTCTCATGTAATTACTCCCAGGTAAACTCTAAAGTTATCAGGTATTTTTAGCCAGTTTAGACATAACCCAGAAATCCCTAACCTACATCTGGATCTGCTCTGCTTTTCAGTTTTGCCGACAATATATTTATGTCTGGTAAATAGTCTATTGGGTCTCATGCATTCAGAGACCTTCATGTGCCAAAATAATTTGCTATTTTACCTTTGCTTTCCAAAAACCAGGATGATGAAACATTCTGCTGCAATGGGATTTGATCTAACACTACCTAAAAATCAGTTATCTTGATAATGATCATGATTGTTAGCTATGGGAACAATTTCTCCAGAGATTTATCTCTCTAGTTACGTGGCTATTTCTCCTCCTCCCAGTTACTTAGCTCAGAACTGGCATTTTTTCTTATGCATCTGTTCCAGTTCAGCCTGAGGTTGAAGGTTGAATTCGGGGATCATCCAATGAAATTCCCCAGTCAAGTCAGACATAAGTGATCAAATCACAGTTTTGGCCTTTAAGTACTTCTCTACATAAATAAAGTCTTATCTAACTGACATTAATGCATAGCTGCCAAGTAGCTGAGACTGAAGTAATTAATAAATAATAATATATTATGGAAATATAGCTACTGATATTAGTGAAAGAATATTTAAGTTATCAATTTCCTTTTTTTCTGTTTCCAATATAATTATTTAACTAGGCAAAAAATTAAGCTGATAATATTTTTCTGTGCTGAACAAAACTGTTGAAAAGTACCCAATTTGTAGAAATTGCAGTATTCCTTTTTAATATAAAGCTCTGGTTTATTTAAGTTTGTCAGTGACCTGAAAGCACCTGGAGCTTTGCACTGACTTGGAAGATGCAGCATCTTTTCACATAAATACCCTTGGTGTAAATGTCTGTTTTCAAGAGCATTTTGTGAATGCAGCAACTGCAGTGCTGTTCTTTTCTATGGCCTCAGGTTCTGCTCTCATTGCAATCAATGTCCAAAGTCTTCACTTACTGAAAGAAGAATATTTAAAAGAGATAATGTCAAAATCCAGCAAACCAAACCAATCTATATTCCACATTGTAGTTCATGTCTGCAGTTTGCTAGGACAAAAGTTATCTCTCCAAACCTAAGTATCAAATGCTGGCTCTTGAATGCACTGGGATCCTTCCCATTCTGGGTCAAGTTACAGTCTTCTTAGATGATAGAGACACTGAATATAACAGCATTTTATACAGATACACATGGTTTCAATGATGCTAAACTTTTTAGATTTTGTTGTTGTTGTTGTTATTTTTTTGTATTTTTTAAACCCTGAAGACTGAATGGCAGCCAGGCATAGCCACATCTAGGAATGTTGCTGATGTAAACTGAATAAAATTTAGTATAAAGCTGAATAAATGATTTATACTGAAAGTAGAAATATACAAAATCAATTAACAATCTGTTAGTTTAGTTTGAATAAAATAACTTTCCATCAGTCTCTGACGGTAATTTTGTTCAACAAGGAACACCAACATGTGGCAGCTCTGTTTCCAGGTTGTAATGCTGAGATGAATAGCACCTTTCATAACAGAGTCCTCAATAACCTCTGGACTTGATCCTGAAAACACTTTGTATGTAATTATGTTGGCTTCAGCTGTACTACTTCAGGGTGGGTTTCACTCATTTAACATTAGACATTTAGAAGCAGACATGGAGGCTCCCTCTGCAGTCAAGGGAGAGATATGGAAAACACTAAGGAGCAAGTTGTGTTCCTTGTCTGGAGTATTTTTAATTTTTTTTTATATTATTATAAATATTAATATATTATTATTTTTTTAAATGATGGGGTACATCACAGAGGGAGACTGGCACTGATCTCTGTTAACTGCATAAGGAACAGCTACAATTTGAAACCTTGGCTTTATGTAATAAGCTTATTTGAAAATCTGAGTGAATTCTTTTTTTTTTTAACAAAGCCTGGGGTCCTCATAGCAGTCAGCTGAGCTACTCGTGCAGACACCCAATCAGTGCAACATTCATCACTTTATTTAGTGCAGTCATTGGTAATGTCTGATGTCTCCTGTGGCAGGAACGTGGCACTCTACAGGCCTCAGATGCTGCAGGACAATCAGACCTGGATGCAGTTGTGATGCAAATGGGAGTAGAGTGCAAGAAGAAAACAGTTCATCAAATGGACCAGGACCACGGTGATGGGGTGATGGGCTCATCTACTATAAATCTACATCTGGTCATGTGGGAAGAATTAAGTTGTACTCCTGTAAAAAGTTCTATTGAATTGTAAATAAATTAAAAATAAAAGAGAAAGAAAAATAGTACTGATTTTTTCCCAACAGGTCGCCACAAAATACGTTTCTAATTCAAAATGTAGCTTGCTGTGGATGGTTGAGATACTCAAAATACGATGATGCAGGGATTTTGCTAAGCTTTTGGGATTTGGCTTCCGTTCACTGGGATTTAGATGCTTCACTAACCTCTTCTGGCTAGGCTAGGTTTCTTGTACAGAGAAACTCAAACTTAAACCTTTGAAGTTCTCTTCTAGAGCTCTCAACATCCACAACTTCTATAAATATAGGCCTACCTACATTAGAAGGGGTGATCTTCAAGTTAAGACTCCTTTCCTTCAAACCTGTTGCAGATATTTCATGGAAGGAGTTAAACAGAATACAAACACAGAACAGAGGGAGCACGTAAACAAACCTGCTATACCAACTTACTGTTTCCATCCTTCCTTCAGTGCTGAAAATTCCCATCTTCCAGGTAAATTTCATATTGACTTGGCCAGTAACTTACTGTCTTCAGCTACTGTCAACAATCTGTTCTCACTGAGGAGGCCATAACAAATTTAAGAGTTTAAGGGAGGTGATCTTATAATACAATCAAAATAGTTATTTATTGAGGACAGTGAACATGAGCCCACATAATGTATGCTGTAAATCACTAAGGCATGTGGTTCCATTTAACACTATTTTGCTTGAAAAGTGATCACTTAGAGGTAAGGTTTGCCCTAAGTTTGGTAGGAAACAAAAATATGCAAGAATAAGTAATAAACAGGGTGTGTTTTGGACAAAGCTATCTTTTAGAGCCATTTAGAGGAAAGAACAGTTCTATCTATAGAACCACTGCTTGGATCTTTGTCTTCTGTTAACCACAAGTACATATTTTCACTGGAAAAATGTGACATTCAGGCATTCACAAAGATTTGTTCATGCTAAGGATAAACAGAACTAGATATCCTGTGTTCTGAGATAAGAAAATACATGGTACCATTTCATGTAATAGCACTCATGTTTTATTAAAATGAGGGGTTTTTTATTCTTATTTCTACAGCTACCGCTGAGAGGAAGTGAAGTTCTCAGGACACAGCTCAGAGCTGATTTTATTCTTATTCTCCCCTGCTTGGTGCTGAAGTCCATAAATCAATACAGCAGTCATTGCCATTTAGGGAGACCAGGAAAATGCCTTAAACCAATTAGTTCAACGGTTGATTTCATTGGAAGTAGAAATATAGAAGTTTAATTTATACAAAGCAAGAAAATGAGTTGCAGTTAATTTTTCATGGAAATTAATTTCTAGTCTGATTCATAAAATATATAGAACTCTGGAGTCTCAGAAACTGGTTTTCTTTTCTATTCTGGACATAAGTGCAAATGCAACGAACTTTTTTCTTAACATACTACTTGTTTTAAAGACACTGAATTAATACCCCAGATCTGGTGACAAAATTTTTATTCTTCTCACCACATTTGGGCCAGATCCCACCTGCACTATGTGCCTGTCTGGTCAAGACAGGGTTAATTTTTACAGCAGTCAGGAGAGAGTGGGCAGGACCCTGGGATTGCTGATACCATCTCACAGCCTTGCTGGAGGACAGGGTGTTTTCCAGGTTTTTTTTTTCTCCAGAGACATGAAATCAGTGTGCATTACTGTGCAGGTGTTGCATTATGATTACCAACACCGGAGTAAAGGAGATTCTCCTCTTCCCAAATTGGTGGGAGATGGAGAGAGCAGAATCCTTTGTCTTTCTTTGGAGACCCCCAAGGGTCAGCCTAGCTGCATCAGCACAGGGCAATGGACAAACTTTGGCCATTCCTGTGCAGAAAGAGTGCAGAAAAAGAGCCTTTATCTCCTGATGGACTGCAAGGTGGAAATTCTAGTACTAGTACTACTAGTACTACCTTACTAGTGCTATCCTTTTTCTTACTCATCCTCTTTTAAACACGTGCCTTCTAGAAACTCCCTGGTATGTGTAGGTGCCTTTATTGGAAGTGGAAATACGACTTACGTTCTCAGAGAATATTGATCCGGACTCTTGGACAGTGTTTGATTTGAATTTGACTTTACTGCAAGTGTGGAACTCAATCTGCCAATGTGCTTGCACAGTAACTGCAGGAATTTAGTGACCCAAGCCTCCCCAGGGAAGCAAATTTGGTGGCTGAGTCACAAACACAGGCACTTGAAGCTGACTGGATGAAGTGATTTCTGTGCCCAGCTGATTGCTCCCTCCTCATCCTTCATCCACAGGCTTCCCCACTTTGGGATCCTTCACTGCTCATCTAGCTATCCAGTAGATGAAGGTAAATCAGTTCTGCTCCTTAGTGGCTTTATTTATCATGTTTAACATTTTCTTCTTTTGCTGGAAGCAAATGCAGGCACGGATGGCTGGGAACAAGCAGTTTAAATTTCTTGGGCTTGTAAAGAGTGGGAGGTTCCTTTGAAAATTTTTAGAGTTGGACACAAATTATGGGACCTTCTCATGAAGGACCCTCAGAGTCACCAAATGCACAGTAGTTCAACTTGAAGAGACTCACTAGGCACAACTTAGCCCAACATTTGGAAAACAATCCATCTCCTTAAGAGATTTAAGCAACACCATTGCATTGCATCATGCTGCAGGCATTTCTGTCACTGCTTACAGAAGGAATAATAGTGCTCAGCATAAAGATAAACACTTACAGTGTGGCAGCAGGCTGCTGTCTCGTGTTTCTCCTGCAGTCTTTACTAAAGGACCTTCTATTTTACCATGACAATTAATTTCACAAGAAAATAGTTTTGCCTGGAATATGACAGTTTGGCATTACAGTGTCTGGACACTGTTCAGATTGATGACCAAGCACAAAATTAAGCAAATGGCAAGTAACAAAAATTGCTGACCTCTCTTCCTCATTTTAGTTAGTAATGAAAGATCTGCTTAATCATTTAATTCATGCTTGTATTATTGCCCAATGAGAAAACAAAAATGCAGGTATCTGATGTTCAACTTTTGCTCTTTCATGAGCCACTTAACTTTACAGGAAATTTGAACAGTTGTTCTGGGCACTGGGTGTGGAATTTGGCCTTAGGGAAGCCCCAAATTAGCTACTAAAGGAAAAAAAAAAAACAACAACAAAATAAGAGAGAAAACACCCTCACCTTTGAAATTCATGTTTAAAAGGACCTGTTGAATACTTCTTCCATACAATAATCAGTGTCCTTTCTGCACTAAAAATAATGGCATCATCCTCACCATCATAATCATTACATCTTCAAAACATGGGAAGGAATCTTTCTCTTCCTATGGAGACTTTAGACCATTTCTGTAAATTTGGCAGAAATTCTTTTTTCGGTGGGTATTTCCAACACCTTGTTAAGTGGAAATGCAGTCCTGACAAAAAAGGTCGCTCAAAGAGGTGGCATGATGCTGAGAAAGGTAAAATTCCTTCTGAGTCTCCCAGTAAAGCTGTACTTATCTGCTCTGGGAATTTCTGAGCAGTGGTTTAAAACACAATGCCAGGGGATGCATGGAGTGATCATTCACAATGATGCTGTGCAGATGGCGAATGCCTGCTCAGCCTGTGTCCATGGCATGACCTCGTGTAACCTTCTCTGAGCGCCTTCCTAGCGAGGCACACAAAAGCGCGTTGGTTCCCTGCTGTCTCCGGAGAAATGTTCTTTATCAGCTTTCCTTTAGCCAGCAGCCACAAGAGGGCGGATTTTTTCCTGCTTTCCCCCACTCCATGAAGATCTTCTCACAAATTCGTTTTTATAACTCTTGAAAGATAAATCTTCTGCTGTTTATTCCCCCCCACACACACCACCAAGCTGCTAAAATAAAACTATTTCCAAAACATTTATTCCCCCCCACCCCCTACATTTCACAGAGTCTGAAGACCTGTTCCACAGATGAGAAAAAGGAGACAGACATTCATGCTGATTTCTTTTTCACAGGAGTCTGAAGCATCTCCAGAACATGAAACAAACAGAACTTTACAGCAAATTTTCTTTTTATCAGGATTCATGATCTCAGAGTACCTCAAACCCTTATTCCGTAGTTCTGATAAATGCTTGAATAAAAACAAAATACTCACAAAGATTTTTCTTCCACCAACCTGCTCCTCATTTTCTATTTGTTGAGCTTCTTAAGTTGCAGAAGGGGGTTATCAGCAAAGAGCCTGTGATCTTCAGTGAGTGGGAATGAGGTAAAGTGCACGAATTATTCTGCAGAAATTCAAAACACAAACTGGGCTCAAATCTACATCATACCCATCACAATTATATTTGTATTAAGCAGTGCCATGTGGGGATTAAAGCAATGGAAAGTTTTACCAGTGATAATGATACAAACGTGGAAATTCAGTATAAGTTTTCCTTTCTTTTTTTTGAAGGCCTTAAACAGGATAAGTCAACAATCAACCTACCTCCAAATTCCTCCCTTTGTCTTTTGGGAATATAAAACACACGTAGATAAGTACAGTCTGTATTTGAATGTGTAGAATTTATAAAAACAATGTCAGATTGGTACTGTAGTAACAAACTGTTTAAAAAATGTAGGTAAAAAATGTGTAAAGTTGACTTTTGGTGAACCTAAAAAACTCCTCTTGTTTAGCTCCTGTCGTGTACACCCAGACCACCCATCTGAGTTCCGTGTGAATGGTAGGTGAGGATGAAGTTCTGCTGAGGTGAGTTACATGGTGGAAACTCCAATATATTTCTCTGGACTTCTTTGGTTCTGCTGTTATTTCACGGGAGCAACAATCGGGGTCTGTTCCAGTACTGAGCTGCCAGCTGAAGACTTTCAATCTGAGCCCTTCACTGAGGGAAACGCAGCTCTTGAAAGAGCCCCAGTGTGTCTCTGGAAGTGTCTGATACTGTCTGTGCCATGTGTGTGCAATGGCTCTCAGCCTGTGGGCAGGCAGGCTCTTCCTCGGGCAGCCACAGACGGAAATATGTTGGAGAGAATGGTTTGGTGTGGGAGTGGGCTGGTCCAGGAGAGAAATTCTCTCTTAGGAAGCGGTCTGCAGCATGTAAAAGCCG